GCCTCAAATATTTATCCAAAAAAGGACTAGAAGCAAGTTGAGGAAAAGCTGCCATTTTCGCGCACTTCAGGTGTTGGCAGCAAAACGTTTCAATTTGCCGAACAAGGAAAACAATCATCGACCGCATTTCGGGACAAAAGCGTATAATTAGACGGTCCCCGTTCCATTTTCCCAAATTTTAATTAACTCCCGGTTAACAGCTGTTTAACCTTTTTGTGCCGCACTTCCAAAGGCTGTCGATTGCTCTTTCTCAAAGTCGCTCCTAAACGGGGCGTTTTTTAGTTTTCGATTAGTTTGCCCGAAAAAAGTTAATGGCCTTTTTAAAAGGCCCGCGGAAATCGGTTCGGTTTTAATGCTGCATTTACTCCGAAGTGTTTCGAGCGAGAAATTAAATATATTCAATCATACATTCGCTCCTCCAGTTAGTCCAGTACAAACAGTTGAAGTTCAATTGTTAAAAAACCTGCAGCAGCTTCCGAACTGGTAAAATGAAGTCAAATATTTGATTTGGTGATTGTCTGCAGCTTGGTTGTTTATCAGAAACTTGAAAAGTGAAATGCGATCTTTTAGGATTTAGCAGCCACAAAACCCCAAAGGCGAATTAAAAATGCACTTTCGAGCTTTCGGTGGCTAATTAAACCCTTTTGCAAACAGACGTTTAACGTCTTTGCCTCTGTGAGCACGTACTTCAACTTGTGCTTTTTTTAATTAGCCAGTTTGGCTTGGGCTTTTATCTGTTGTGTAAACTCGGCCTCGCTTTTAGCGCGATTCGGTCGACTCAGGTAAGATAGTAGGCCCATTTTTTAAGATTTTTCTCTAATTGCTCTCTTTTTCTAAGTAAATGCTTGGGTTTTAGCCAGGTGGTCGAAAGAAGATTAACAGCGAAACTTTCCAAAATTTGTAAGTGTTTTTGAGGGTTGCTTGGGTGCAAATAGCTTTGCAATCAATTGTTTTCTGCAACCAATTTGCTTTAACTTGAGACGAAATTATCGGTCTACATTTTGCAGGATTTGGGAAACATACAGATGAAAGGGTTTGCTGCAATAACGGCAGAATCCTCAGTCACTCTTCCCCTATTGGTGATCGTTAAGCCCAAGGAATGTTTCGTTTAAAGGTTCAGGTAAACAGCTAAATCGCTAATGAAGATTGTTTTGTAATCTTGCAACTAAAAACTCCGTCTCCGCGAAATGACAGTGTCGTCGCAAAAACGATGATCTGGAAATTGCGCGATTTGATTAAAAGTTCGTTTAGCCGCGGAAAACCTTATCCGAGAGAAAACTGACAGTGCACTTTCGCAGTAAAGCTGGAAAATTACTTTGTCGAGGTCACTGATTACATCATCATCGCCGAGACGGACGTATAAAGTATAGAGATTGTTCCAGATAAGGCAGACGAAAATGGAGCGAATTCCCGATGCTGCAGGCAATAAGGATGGTCGGTCTGATTTAGAAATAATATTGGGGAGATTTGTTCGGTAAACGGGCTTGATATCAAATAATAAAAAGCAATGCAGATAACTTTTCTGTTTGTCGCTCCACTTTGTTAGAGAAGTTTGCTGAAGAACAACCAACACTTTCTTTTGCTACTCGAGGTCGAAACTTTTTTCGTATGAAATCTGGTAATTTTTGTTTTATAAAAACCTCCAGTCAAATTATTTCGATTCCAGCTATAAACCGTAATCAGCTTTATTTGTTTGTTCATCTGTATTGAATTGAATTGGAACATAAGCTGGTGGGATTGGAAAAAGGCCATAATCCAACGTGATATGACACACCTATTATTGTTTGTAAGCTGCATTTTGCCTGCATTATTAATCCCCGGTATTTTTAGACAGTATTTATACAAAAAAAAATACAATGGCGCTCGATTACCCATTCAGCTTCAATAGGCGCGCATAGAATTTAAATCACTATCGTTCAATCATACCCCAAGGCGATCACCTCGTTATCCAGAATTATCGACGAATCCCCAACAACAGAATTTATTTTTATGCCGAATCGGATTTGGCACAAAAAGTTCAGGCGTCTAGTTCGGTCCGCTCCAACATTAACGAACAATACATTGTCGCATCAACCATATATCTGTATATAAAAATGTATTTATCTCCATATGGATAAAGGTGTGCCAAGGGGTTTTTGCACAGGGTTTGCCATTTACATTCCGCAATACAGAGCGAAATCCGCACAATCGATCGCATGAAATTGGAAATGAACAGCTTTAATCTAAATTCCATTTTTCCTAGTTATTTTCGCAGCGCCATTAAACCCCAAATTCAACAAAGAATTCAGTTTACGAGTATTTTACTGTTTAAGCTCTTGGTTTGGTTTTAGTGCCCTCAAAGCTGTCGTTAAAACAACAATGTTTTCCATGGAATTGAAATATCGGAGTTTAATGGGGTTTTTTACAAGCTTTTGCTTCAGCTTGCAGCGACCAGAAATCTGGATAAGGATGCGTTTAATTAGCTAATTTCCACTGATCATGATTGATTAATTTTCGTACGCAAAAACACTTTGGACATGCAAAAATTTTCAATTCAAGTTGCTGGCTGTAAAAGACGGACATCGATCGAAAAGAGTTTGTTGCTGGAAGAAACAAGACAAACAAGAAAATTTGAGAACTCAAGAAGAATTCAATTCATTTGAATTTGAATATTTCATTGAACGTTACGTTAATTTTATCCTTTTTTGCCGCAGTAAAGCCTTCAACTGAAACAAAATTAATTTATTTGCAACGGTTTAATTTCGCATCAATAAATTTCCCTATTCTTTTAAATTACTGCTAATAGAGATATACGTATATATTTGACTACTAAACGAAATTATCCGTTAATTTCGTTCAATCTGTACACGGCAACTTTGTTTACGAATTGAAATTATTAAATGCGATTCGCCATGAACTAAATTAATGAGGCAAATAGCTCGACATTGCTCCGAAACTTGTTTAATTATGTATATTTGCCGCTGGTTCATAATTAACTGTTGGCAAAATTGAAAAATCTATTTACATTTGCTTTGCAGTACTATGAAGTGTGCTATTGGGTTATTAATGGGAATCCGGGCAATTAGGTATTATATTTGCAGAAATTCAAGGATGAAGCAATGCATGCCATATCAAGACGCATAGATGGACCATTCGACAACCTAAATAATTGTAACAAAAAATGTTTACACGTCCTTTTTTTCAATGTAATGTAAAAAAGCTGCTGAGAAATATTTTGCGGTTTTTAAGGCCTGCAAACCCTGAGAGGCCTCTTTTGCAACCGTCCACTGAAACCCCTCGAAAACTATGCAAAAACCTCAGTTATAAAATTAGCTAAACATGGCTCAAGTCGCATATAACCTCATCCTGACTGACTGCATAGAGCACAGGATGCTTAAAACAGGTTATCATTGCTAGCAAATTGCTCTTTTACGACGACACACTAGAAACGTAAAGTCTTTATCGATGCAACGAAAAATTGACGAACGAAAATATGGAGCTGAGATCATAATACTGCTTCGAAGCTGTGCAAGCTGAATACTCAAACGCTTTATGAGCCGGCAATGCAGTTAGATCGCTTTTCCGCTTATAAAACGTCAAATAAAATGAAATTTTCTCTCAAAAGCAGGCTGGCCTCGAGGCGAGAGTTTAAAGGAGACGAAGAGTGTGTTGTCCGACTAAGCCCCAAAAAACTTGGTGTTTCACGTAGGGAAAACCGACCTGATTATCGCTTCTTGTTGGTTTCTAGAGCATGAAATTTGATTTAACAGGCATCAATAACGATTTGAAATTTCGAAACTTTCTCCCCGCCCCCAGATATTCGTTGAGTGATCGCAAAATTAAATTCCCGGTTCAGTGACAATAAGCTTTAGTTTTCCAGTCTCGGGTATCTACCACTCTAAAGGCGGAACTTTTAATCGAATCATAGAGTTTCCGCACAGCGTAACAGAGAAGTTTTTCATTGATAACATTTTGTGCGGCGTCGGTAATCGCGTTGTTTTCTGATTGTTTTAGACTAAAACGAGGCTTTAACCAAACAGGGTTTCGTTCATATATTTTCAGTAAATTGAGTTCAAATTGCTCATCTATTTAGTTTTGAATAACGCTTTTTTGTTGTTTTTCATGTTTTGTTGACGGCAATATTTGCATTTATTTATTCACCCGAGAACAAATGGCCCTGTTTTATCAAACCAATTCAGCATATTAAAAAGTATTGTCGCCCGCACGTAAACGCTCGTAAAAATCCACTTATCTTAAAAACGCAAAAAGAAAATTACCCTGTTTCGTTGCCGTATAACCGGAAAACGGAAATGGAACTAATACAGCTAATGTTTCCCATTCCCAATAAAAACTTTCTTATGACTTTAGGTAAATATGAACCCGAATAATAAATACGAGAAACGGTATTCTAGAAGGAATTTTATTGTTGATAGGTGCACTTTCGGTTTAATAGAGTTGTAACGGTTTTACGGTTATCGTGTAAGTTCTATAAGCTCTAACGAGCCATTGTAAGGGTCACTGGATTCCCGTGGACATTCTGAGTAATTTTAACGACGCTGGAGATTTGGAGATTATTGCATTTCACAGATTTCAACTTTGGGCGATTTTATCGCTCAACTTCCAAATTGTCGCTCAAATGTTTGTGCAAACTACATACTCAATTGCTTATTGATCTGTTGATTATGAATTTAATTGGCAAATATTGGAGTATGAAGTGCAGAAAAAGTTATTTATACGATGTTTTTTCACATTTTGAGCGAATTATCGGGGAAATCCCCACGGCGACTGTACTAACTGTTTTTGAGCACTAATTCGTGTAATATTCGCGAAATACTCACATTTTCTTGCTGAAGAAACGCAATGAGGTTGACTTGATGTTTCATTTACCCAATACATGCATGCCCAGTATTCTGCTTGTTTTGGAAAAAATTCCCAAGAATATAAGAAAAATAGAAAACAAACTGTGGTGGTCCAATTTCCTTCCTCATTCCTCCTTGCTTAATGTTGCTATATTTTTTCAGCAGGAACCCGAGAGGGCAGCAACCAGGCTAAATATCCAGTGATCGTGTTTATTCATGGAGAAAGCTACGAATGGAATTCTGGCAATCCCTACGATGGAACCGTTCTGGCCAGTTATGGGGGCGTGGTCGTGGTCACCATAAATTACCGGTTGGGCATCTTGGGTAAGTGCTTTTATTCAAAAATACGGTTTTTAACATAAATTTAACAGCCGCATCAAAGCCTTTCATTGCGAAGCTCAAAGCCAAAGTAGTGATGTGTCTATGAATGTAACGAGTTTTGAAAGTGTGGCCGTTTCATCACGGCCGAACAACGAAGCGACGTTCACAGGAAAGCGACCCTTTTGTTCCTGCAGCTGCCCGTAATATATTAAATTCTTTTCACAAAGCACATAAAAGCAACGCCATTCATCATTAGGATTTAATTTAAGTTCGCTTTAATTTCCTCCTTAAATTAATAGCGCGGCTAGTCTGGCTGTTGGCGCAGTTGGTAGGCGATGTGTTTATGCTGATGAGTGGAAGCAAGATCTACTCAGACTTTTCTATATGATTTGGCTTTGCCGTTTCAGCAGCGCAAATAGTATTAAGCGAGGAGATGAGTTGATTTGCCTAAGTTGGCTCGGAATATTGTATGTGGCAACCGAATGATTTGGAATCTCCTAGTGAGATAAAAGTGGATTTTTTCGCCAAACCCAGTGAATAAGTGGCTCAATAAATTATCGAGCTCAATAAAAAGCTCGTCCGTTCCAGATGGGACACCTGGCACGTAACTTCGATTCCTGTTATCAACCTGGCCATTTGAGACATCAATAACCCGCCTTCGGTTAAGACATTTTCTGCTTTGCAGGATATTTTCCTGTTTGAAATGGGATTTCCATGACGTTTTATGAGCGCTTTCGTCCTTTTATGTGGTAATTTATTACTATGTAAGAAACTTTGGACAAAATCAAAATCGATTGTGCTCGATGTTGGCTTGGAAGCCGTAAAACATCAAAGGCCCAGTTTTTGCTGGTTAATTAAAATCTAATTAACGGAAAAATGCGGCTTCAATGGAATTAATCAAGGCAAGTGGCTCAAGAAGCCATACACGATCGGAAACTATACAAGCGGTTAAGTTGCAGAGGATTTCGAAAAGTAATGCTGCAGATAATGAGTGTCCCAGTCGCATGAAGCTCTTCATGTTGCTTGCGAGATATTAAACCCATTTAGTGCCCGAAAGGTAACAGCCTGCGAGGAAATTCCAAATTTTCTTATAATATGTTTGCGATGTACGGGAACAGATAAGAGATTCGCTTTGTGCCGGGAAATAGAACCCGACTGATGCTGGGAAATTGAAGCAGACCTAGTTTCTACAAAGAGCTCTAGAAATAATTTTAAAACGCTTTGGCTGGAAGGCTTGGGGCCGACCGCACACACATTCATCGATTTAGTCAAAGTGTGTGTGTTAAGATCTATCTTCTCAAGGAAAGCTGCGTTGTTGCCCGTCTTTAGCAACCGAATTCTTGAGCTTGAGTCTCCTAATCAGATTCTTCACGAATAAGACGATTCCCCGTCCAATCGGTCCTCAAAGTATGTAGTTTACTACATAGTAAAAACAGGCCATAAAACACAATCAACTGCTCGTTGGAGCAAGCAAAGCCTCCCCATGGATGCAAACGTCTAGACCGATAACGGATTATTGATGCGTCAAATGGCTTCGCTGATAATAGAGCTGGAGGAGCTACGAATTTGATGTTCCATCTGGCACGGATTACGCTTATATTGAAAGGGATTGTTGCCAAAAGTGAGTATTGACGATGAACCAGAGGATGAAAGCGGTTGACATGTTGCTGAACGGATTTGTCGCTTCCGATGTCTATTAAAACCGTTCCTATGGGGAGTTTCGAGCGGAAGCATGTGGGGCACGTGGGTTCAAAGATAGGGCAAATTGCGACGCAGAAACAAGGAAATTTTCGAAAGGCATTCCGGACGTGCTTGAAACGACATCGACCCTGTAAAGCTTCCAGTTGCAATGCCGAAATATCCCTCAAGTGCCACCTAAAGAGGGTTCAGCCGTAGAGCAAAGTTGGAAGAAAATTGCACTCTCTAGTCCCTTGTATTTGTGTTGCTCCACATATATTTTACATAGAAAACTGACTTGACAGCAGCTTTTCAATAGATCTCCCCAGTAGAAATAGACCTTCTATAGTGATGCCAACATTTCCCACGAGCGATAAATGGAAGCGCCCCAAATTACGCCCCCACACACACTCTCAGCCGCGCATTATGAAAATTGCATGCATTTTCTTTCGCATCTGTCGCAATATCCGCTGCTTCACCAAAAGAAAACAGCAATCAAAAGCTCCTTTTCTCCCATCGCAAAATAGCGGCATTGTTCTTCTTTGTGTACGGTGTTTGTTCCATTTTTTTGTCGTCGTTTGCGTTCCACGTATCGGCCCCCTCACCTGCACCCTCTAAGATTCAATGCGAGATCCGAAATGCGTATTATACGAGACATGGAAGGAAAATGACGCCATTTGTCAGGCCATCTCGTAACGACATTGTAGAGCGGACTCGTTATACGTGTTTTTGGTTGAAAGCAGAATTTAGAGCGATGATAAAGAGCAGTTTAACAAGTTTCTAGTCTTGGGAATAAATTCACTTGTGCGGTTTTTGCCTGCCATTTTTCCCAAACAATTTAAATCTTCCGGAGTGGTCGCGTCAACTGGGCCTTTGGACGGTATTTTCGTGTCAATCGAACTAGATTTCTTCTAAACATCTTATTGCTACCTGCTTCGAAAGAAGCCTTGGCCTTTGTTATAAAAACAACTCGCTTCAATTGACTGGCGCTTCCGTTCCATTTCTGTTCTTCTGTTCAATATTTAATAAACAAATTCAGCTAAAATTCAAATTATTCATGAATCTCTAAAACGCAATCCTATTGGTTGTGACGTCTCTGGTCATATAAATGGCGGAATGTTTACGTTCGGTGCATAGTGTTTAGTTGTGTGGTTGTGTTTCATTAATTATTTTGGGGATTTAAATAATTTATAGCTTGTGTTAAACTAAAAATGGCTTCAGAAGGATTCCTTAAAGCGTCAACAAACAATTTACCAGGTGTACATATTTTTATGGTTACCGATTTTTTAAAAAACGACGAACGCTTCAATTCAGCCGGATTTACGGGTGTCAAAGCAGCAGCGTAAGTGAAAATCCGTAAATTCATTATTAGTTACTCTCTCCTTAATATTCTCTCTGCTAAATAATATATAGAATTTTCCTTATTCAACTTAAGCTAACCTATACACATGGCTGCTTT